GTTACACAACAAAACAAGAACTTTTAAATAGTTAATTTAATATTAATATCAATGTGTTTTAAAAAAAATTAAGATATATTCAAATTTATATTTTATTCAAAAATAAAAACATTATCGTTTTTCTCGAAACCACATAAAACCGTATTATAACATTGATAGAGGAACAGAATTAAAACGAAACATTAAAATCGAGATTATCTCGCTGCAGTGCACAAATACCTTTACAGTTTTATAAATATAATTTAAAAAATACAATTAATATGTTTTTGGGTGTTTGAAAACATAATAATGATATGGAATGTGGGGAGCGGTTGGCGACCATCATTGTCTTATTCCTAACCCAACTCTTCCATTATTATTTTATTTTTATTTTCTTTTTTTATCATTTTTTTTATTTATTTTTTTCAGGTACATCATTGAATTTATTAAAAAGATTCAGAAAATTTATTGAAATTTATAAATTAATTATATATTTTTGTTAACCAAAAAAATAATATTAATTTTGTGAACTCGTTGGATCAATCAGAATCATTTTTAAACTATAGTTACTTCAAATGTTAGAGTTAATGATTAAGGGTACATAGATGATTTTCATTTGTAAGTTAATTCGCTGTATTACATGAGATGTTACAAAATTATAATTGTTTGTTATTAGGGATGATAATTATGTCATCGTTTTCAAGGGTTACGATGAAAATGTTCGAGTTAATTTGAATGATGGATAATCAAAATGAACACTGTACCATTCAGTATATTGATTCAGATGATATTTTTTCTTTTCTGGTTTTTGAATCAGGGATGGACCTTGATTTTTTTTTTACAGTGGCACCATATAATATAAACAAAAAATAATTACAAAAAGCACGAGTTTTAACGACGTGTCTTCATGTTTTTGGTTGATTTCAAGAGTTCTTCTCGGTTTTTTGGTTGAATACGAGGTACGGTTGCACCTTCTTGAACTTTTGAACGGTGACACATTCTAAAACGATATTGTTGTACCTTTCATAAACGTAAATTTTTTAACCTTTCGGTAGAAAGATAATACGGTAGCACGTGCCATCGTATGCCTTTCTATGAGTTAGTCCATGTTTTGAATGATATGTCAATTAGGGTGCGTTTGGTACGCAGACAGGACGGGACGGGACATGACAGCTGTTCAGCTTTTGGTAAGACATGATAGGACTTGACAGAGCTGGTTAAAATGACTCATTTACCCCTAGTGAGTCAATCCCAGAATTCTAACCACCATGATCAAATTAATCTACCATACTCCTAAACCCACTTGAGAAGACGACATCAGATTCTAAACCCTAAAAACTTCAACTTCAATCAATTTTACAGTCCAGTGGCAAAATCGATACAAAACAGCAAACAAACTGCAATCGTCACAGCAAAATCGATAGAAACAACAAAATCAATACCGCCGATTGAAAACAGCAAAATCGATAGAAACAACAAAATTGATTGAAATCCAGTGGCAAAATCGATACAAAACAGCAAACAAAATGTAATCGTCACAGCAAAATCGATAGAAACAGCAAAATCGATACCGCCGATTGAAAACAGCAAAATCAATAGAAACAACAAAATCGTGTGAAATCCAGTGGCAAAATCGATACAAAACAGCAAACAAAATGCAATCGATAGAAACAGGTAGAACGATTCGTGAAATCTGTCGATTACTGTCCAGCAATCGATACTGCCGATTGAAGGGGAAGAAGGGTGACGCTTGCAATCGATACTGTCGATTGAAGGGGAACAATTCGTGAAGTATACGGTGGAAGCAAAGAAGGGTTTTGAGAGGGTAGATAGGTAAAATATTTCTTATTCCACTTAGTTCCAGGGGGTAAGGGTGGACAGGCTTGTCCCACCCGTGGTCTAGCTAGTTCTAGTGAATCCAACATAAGGCCACACCAAACATAGAACAATTGTGTTTTGTCCTGTCCTGTTCCACCATGTCCAACGTACCAAACACACCCTTAGTGAACACAATTCACATGATGTTCATGCGTGAACTAGAGACATTAATATACAAACAATCGATCAAAAATTCATTAGTGAACAATTTTCATAACTACCGACTTTTGTTATTTATCTCTCTCTCTCTCTCTCTCTCTCTCACACACACACACACACACACACATATATATATATATATACATATATATATATATATATGTTCTTGATTGTTTAACATATTTAACAACAAATACATGGTAAAAAATAACCAACCCCCATATATATATATATATATATATATATATGATTGAGTTCACGTGAGACCAACGGTTTTTCGTGAGACCCGTAAGACCAATTTATGCTTATTGATCAACTTCATAAGCTAATGATCTAATGGCCTAAAGTTGTACGGTGACAATTTTGTGATTATCTAGAAGTCTTGTGACAATTTTGTGATTATGAAGATCTAATCCAAGGGTTGAGAATTGGTCTTACGGGTCTCACGAAAAACCCTTGGTCTCACATGATCCCAAGTTTCTCTCTCTCTCTCTCTCTCTATATATATATATATATATATGTATATATATATATATGTATGTATGTGTGTGTGTGGGGGGGGGGGGGTTGAGTTGTAGTGAGAATGTAACTTATGATGAGAAGGCTAAAAAATGATCTTCACCATATGATCAATTCTAATTGAAGATAAAAAATAATGAGATGCATTGAGATACCCCATATCAATTCCCGTAAGAAGCTCAATTCATGAGATGAGGGTGAGATTAAAAGTGATAAAATGGTGTAAATATCTTTTTATGTTTTTCAACTTAACTCTTATTCTCACAGGATTATTCATATATATATATATATATATATATATATATATATATATATATTTAATCTACAACAGATTATTTGAATCTTCTTGAAAATAGAGAATTAAAATTTAAAATATCTAAATTAAATAATTACATTTAATGTAATAGTTTTATTCATTTTAAAAATTACAACATTAATTATTATAAAAAAATTATTTTCCTCTTATAATAATCATTTTTGAGAAGCTCTCTGAACTCGTAGAATTTCACACACTCTCCTCATACTTTCTTAATTTTAAAGAATCCGTTCAATCTATTAACTATAAATATTAAATGCTCATCCGGGCCCCTATCATTAAACTCCAGTGTACTATTGTGTGGGTTGTATTGTATACACTGTTTTTGTAATTCCATCTGCACCGTGGGATCTAGGGTGTTTTCCATATGTATCTCGTGTTATTCTTATTTATTTTGAATTATCGTGGATTTTTGTACCAGCTTATATGTACCAATTAAGTATATGGGTATCGTTGTAAATGAACCGAACGGTAAACGAACAAAAATCTTTGTGTTCGTGTTCGTTTAGAATTCAGGTATGTTCGTGCTCATTTATGTTCGTCCATTAATATGCTAAACGAACGGGTTAAACGAATATAAACGAACGGGTTTAAAAAGTTAAAACTTAAATAAATATTACTTGAATTCAAACTAAATAAATAAAAGATTATATATTAAATTAAATATATAAACGAACATAAACGAACGAATATAAACGAACGTAAATGAGTGAACATCACGAACATAAATGAACGGACGAGATTCTTGTTCATGTTCGTTCATTTAATTAAATGGACAAAAAAATTGTTTATGTTCGTTCATTTATTAAATAAACGAACTTCTCATCGAACGGTTCATAAACGGTTCCCCAAACGTTCAGTTCATTTATAACCTTATGTGTAGGTGACCACGAATAACCTAAAATCATTGTAAGTGAACCTTCATGACTATAAGAATTATGACAACGTTTGAATTCGAACCAGAAGTAGATGATATTTTTCACTACATCCTTCGAGGCTTAAGTAATATGTCACAAACCGAAATTTAAAAAAAAAAAAAAAAACTTAGGGGTGTTTGGGATTGCTTATAAAAACAACTTATTTATTTATTCCGGTGTGACACCGGTAATAAGCACTTTTGAGTGTTTGGATAAACAACTTATACYGGTGCCAAACCGGTAATAAGAAGTTTTTGAATAAGTTAAACTCTTCTGACTTATAATAAGTTAATAAATACTTCTTTAAAAAAACATAAATTGTTTCAAATAAATAATGTCAAACACCTCTTTAATTACAATAACTTTTTCCCACTCAAATTGCAACCTACGAATATATATGATTACGAAAATATAATGAATCATATTTGAGGGCCATAGCTTTTGAGTGGAATTCAATTTGTAATATATATATTTTTTAATTTTAGATTAAAATGTTCGATTTTTTAAATAAACTAAACCACCGTTTACATGAGGTAAAAACATTTAGGGATGTTTGAGATTGTTTATAAAAATAATTTTTTGACTTATTTTGGTGTGACACCGGTAATAAGCACTTTTAAATGTTTTGATAAACAATTTATGTCGGTGTCAAACCAATAATAAGAAGTTTTTAAAGAAGTTAAATTCTTCGAACTTATAATAAGTTGATACATATTTTTATAAAAAAAACATAAAGTTGTTTTAAATAAACAATCTTAAACACCAAGTTTTTAATACAATAATTACAATACGTGGTTAACAGGGGAATCCCAATGTCATTAGGATTCGATATATATTTCCGAGTCGCACGTAATTCGGTTCACCGACAGCCATGGTTGCTGCTCTGCTCTCATCTACCTCCCCCACCCCAATGCGCCATTATTCTACTCATTCTCTTTCTGGCTCTGCTACTACACACTTCCCATTTTCAATCAATGCCATCCCTTTTCCAATTCCCCCTAAACTCTTTTCAATTATATATTCATCACCCACTCTGTATTTATGATTGATCAAGACCAATGTGGGGTTCTTCCTACATTTGTTGCCTTTCACACCCCCTTTACCCTAATTTGAACGGCTTCTTTGCTTTAAATGATGATTCTTCGCTTCCACTGTATCATTCGCATTTCTTTGTTTTTTGATTTTTGATCTTTCGCTTACACGTATACACACATATAGCAAATGCCCTCCCGTTCTCTGGTCCTAACGTTGTTTTCGGTACAGCTTTGAGTTGTTCTGTATAGAAACAATACTCTGAAATGCAGTTAATGATCGTCACTGTAAACTGTCGGTGAGTTATTCATCTTCTTCAACTCCTCGTCAACAGGACAGATGTTGAAAGTAAACTGTGATTCAACTCCACCTATTTCTCCATCGCCTTCTCTTTTGTCTTCCCGTCATTCAAGTTTTCAAGGGTAAACATTGATTCTTGCTCTTGGGTTGATTAGCAACTGGTTTGGTTTGTGTTTATGAGGGTATTGCGTATGATTATTCATCCTCAAATGGGTTTATGTTGGAATAGCTGATGATTACTCCTTTTCTAGCATTGATTTGGTACTGTTTCATATATGAAATCTCACCCTAGTTTTTAAAGGGTATGCTGAATTCAATCGTCTTCGAATAGGTTTATATATAACAACCCCATTCTAATCTTCCATTTTGGTTGGATTATTGGAACTGTTTTATTGATTCATTAAGTTTCGTTTGTGGGTTTATCTTGCAGTTGTTCTTGGAGTAATGGACACATTAGCAAAGATCATGGTGGTGTTCTAGAAATGGCACCAAAACCTTCCTACACTCTTACAGCAGTTAGTCTTCTTATGTTCTTGTTATCCTTTGTACTGCCATTAGAAGAGAGTTTAATGTTATGGTTCGAGTTCTGAGTTGAAAACAGATGACAAATTTCATCTTTAGAATTGATATAAATTTTTTTTGAGTTTCAGAAATATGTATAAATGCATATTAGATTCTATAACAAACCCTGAATTATACAAACTTGTGACGATAAATTATGCTTCATTCATCCCAGAATTAGTCCATTTTACAGTTTTTCTGTCTCAAAAGGTCAAGAATAGAACTCAAGAAGACACATATCATCTTTTCTCCTTTGGGATGAAACTTTTTAGAATGACCAATTCCTTGATGATCATCATTTACTAGTAGACTACATGTATTTAAGCTTTTAGATGAAAGCAAAAAATTATGGTCAATAAGTTGCCATGCTAATAGTCTATTTAGGAAAGTGCTTGGCTGTTTCTGAAATGTCTAAAGTACCCTTCAACAAAAGGGGAATCTTTGTGGATCCAGGTCAAGTTCACCATTGAAATGATGACAATGGGCAAACAGGTTGTTGGACCTTGAAATATTTCCAAATTATAGATGTTGCAATTTTCTTTGGGACCTTCCAAATAGAAATTGATGCAATTTTTATTTGGTGGAGGGAGTAGTTTTCATTTGACCACTTTTTGAATTCTCATGTCAATCTTGGACCCAATCTTTCTCTCTTCATCACACTTTTCACAAGCCGGGGGTCTTCACAAAATCAGTCGCCGTACACTTTGCCAAGCCCCACCCTGGCGTGATATTCTGGGTTCGGTTGGTTTAGTTTGGTTTGGTTTGGTTTATGTCAGTATTGGACCCCTTTTTTGTATATTTTGATTCCTGTCTATTAAAAACAGCTTTGGTTGCTTGAGTTATATTTCCCATTTGGGTTGGTCAATTAGCAATGTTCTTTGTCTTGAATTGTGATGGAGGTATACATGAGTTACAAGCTTACGATTTTGCAACCTTTTACTCGGACCTTGAAGAATTAAGTATAATCCATAACCTTTTATTGGGACATTGAAAGATTAAGTATAACTTCTTTTATCTTTGGCACAGGATGTTGAATTGGGGAAGATATTGCCCGATCAATCCTCCATTTGGTCAGAGTCAGAGATGACACCATGTTCGAGTTCGTTTTCTTCCATTGCTTCAAATGGCACACTAAATTCAAAGGTTATAGTCATCTTATTTAGCAATCATGAACAATTTTTGTGCACCAAATCATTGTGATCAATATTCTAATGTCTCTTTGGTGACTTTGCTTACAGTCATCGGTGGAATTGGTGAAAGAGATCACCTCTCTTGAAATGGAAATACTTCATTTGGAACGTTATTTACTTACACTCTATCGGACAGCTTTTAAGCAGCATGTTCATAGTATGCATATCGAGTTCCCTTCAGAACATAAGATCACATCTGTTGCTGATCAGTCACGCTTCATAGTGAAGTCTGATGCTCGGTTAAGTGGTCATCGTGGTGAACTTTTTCCTCTACGGGAAGGAGTTACTGGTTTAAATCATCACAGTGGTTCTGCCGTTCCAGATCCATCATCTAGAAGAGTAAGTATGACACTAATCACATTGGTTTCACCTAAAACGAGCGTTATTCTTGAGTCGGATTCTATTTAAATGCATGACCTTCTCATAGATTTTGAGGCATTCTTAGGAAGAGGTATTCTTTTGTTAGGCAGTTCTTAAATCTGTCAAAACGTCATTCATTAAAAGAATCTATCCGAAGGCTATTTTCCTAAATAACCCCTTAAAATGTCAGAAATATACATCTTTTTATCTACTTTTGTACTCCATCATGAAGTTAAAGATTATATCTATGACGGGTAATTGCAGGAGAGAAAAACTGCTCGTTGTAGCCATCGTAGTCTTGGGGATCACCTTGGAACTCCAACCGAAAACACCCTTCTTGATGGGCCTGATATACTTTCTGAAGATATAATCAGATGTATATCTTCTATCTATTGCAAGCTCGGGGACAAAAATCAATCTCAAATCGGACCTTCGGTTTCTTCCACTTCATCCTTGTCCTCATCGGGTACATATTGTACCACAAATCTTTCCGATACCTGGAGTCCTTATTGCAATGAGGAAGCTACATGGGACAGTAAATTCGAGAGCTCGAAAGAGGAAAGAGGGCCGTATGCTGAGATGATAGAAGTTTTGAAAATAGGGGTAGATGATGATGGTTTCAATTATGCTTCGAGGATGCTAAAAAAATTCAGGTAGTTTAATCATCAACCGAAATGGTTTTACTTTGGGACATTTCTTACTGTTTTATAGTTCTAATTACTTCACATTTTTATTCATGTAGAACGTTGGTAAAGAGACTTGAGAATGTTGACCCTCGGAAAATGAAGCGCGAACAAAAGCTTGCGTTTTGGATCAACATTCATAACGCTTTGGTGATGCATGTACGTCCCGTTATTTCTCTATAAAGCGTTCTACATAATATTATCAAATATTTAAATATTCTTGAATGGAAGAAAAAGAGTCGGTATGCCATTACATCCCTGAGTGGAACACAAGTTTTTTGGGTGCGATCATACCGGCACTAATGCACCGGATCCCATTAGAATTTTGTAGTTAGGCCTTTAGTGGGGAGCAGAATCGGCAGGTTCCTTTCCGCCCATCGATTCAATAAGATCAGTTCGATCAGTAAAGAACGGATATTTAACATATATGCTTATTTCTTGCAGGCATATTTAGCATATGGAACTCATAATAACACAAAAAGTAATTCCATTTTGAAGGTAATACATATAATTCTTTTCTATTCTTTCGTATGTTCGTAGTAAACGAATAAATTCGTTTGTCCAAATTAACGCTTTTATTGGCGGGTTCATAACCTTGTATTTCAGGCGACTTATAACATTGGGGGGCACTCGATCAATGCATATATCATACAGATCTCTATATTTGGAATCAAATCACACTTTAGAGCACCGGTTTGCCTCTTATCTATCTCCAATCGTTCTTAACATTCAAACACGGAGAATTATCTTAATGATTCCATTCGTTCGTCTTGGCTATTTGATGTTCTCTTTTGTGGGTCCCATGACGAATGAATGGAGGAAAAATAGTATAAGTAACGGGATTATTTTTAAGGTATCTTAACTCATAGTATGAAAGCAGTGGCTACAGTCACTGCTATCTCCTGGTAGGAAGTTGAAGACGGAGCCTAATAAACACGTTTACGCCATTGAATACCCGGAGCCGCTTGTTCATTTTGCTCTTTCTTTAGGGGCATTCTCGGACCCTGCGGTATGCAAATGTTTCTGAGTTCACACTTTGGATATCGTAATACATTTATTGCCTTTTCTGTCTGAGTAGGGATCCTCGTGTGAGAATTTTTACTTTCATGAGATCAAGTGAATCTACCCTTAGAACTTGTTTCCCAAGACCTTACTTTTGGGTGTATTTTTTATGTGGGATAAGACGGAAAAAGACAGAACAAAAAGTTTGGGGCTGTTTGGTTGGTCTTCTATCAAGTCCTGTATGGATAAAGCTGTTTGTGTAGATTAATCTGTATGTATAGATCGAGAAGGTTTTTGGTTGGTAAGTTTTTTCATAGATGGAAGGAGTGTTTTTTTACTGGGGAGGGGTATGTACGGAAAAAACTTGGATTTCTGCATAAAGATCCCTTGGAAGCTTACTAAATAAGCCATTTTCTATATCTTTAAGCCACTATCAAACAGTCATGTATAGGCAATATAGCTAACAGAATAAGCTGCGAGTCTTGTGAAACTCGTTACTCTGCTAATAAACATGCCTTTCTTGTCCCATGTTTGGTGCAACATTAGATCGGACATTACTTGACACCATATAGGTCGAGGGACAAGAAAGGTAAATTACTAAACTACCCATATTAAATTAAAACTCTAAACCTTTTGCAATTCCTTCACTTGCCTTCGTCATTCCCCCGTCCAGGCTTGTCTAGTCCCATCGATCTGTATATATCCTATCCTGAGACCCTAGACCGTGCTTTCAAGTAACATATATCGTGTAAAATCAGATTCGCTTACATGATATATCCCACAAATCAGTACCGACCTTTTAAGCTGTAATTTTGGTACATTTTCTTGTTATTCTTTGTGCCATTTTGGTCTTGACGATAAATCTTTGAAACGTAGGTTCGTATCTACAACGCAAAGAACGTGTTTCAGGATCTGAGGCTTGCCAAAGAAGAGTTTATACAATCAACGGTATACGTGAACAAAGAAACACGCATATACTTACCGAAAATCTTGTATTACTTTGCAAAAGATATGGCATTGACTATAACGGGCCTTTTGGAGATAGTTATTGCGTGTTTATCGGAACGTCAACGGAAGGCCGTGGAAACAAGCATCAAAGGTAAACCCGACAAATACGTATACTGGTTATCGCAGAGTTCTATATTTCGTTACGTGATTCATCGAGAAGGAAGACCATCTGTTTGACTTTTAAGGTTATTTTTTGTGCATTTGTGAAGCTGGAATAACATTGTTTCTTCTTTTTAGTAGGTTTAAGGATGTATAGAGTTGTAACAGTGGATTAAGGGTATGCGTTCTTTGTTGTTTGCCAATTATCTTGTGAAATGGGCCGTTTATTCAAATGCTTACTCAGTAAGTGCTTACCAGTAGAAATCAACATTATAATTTATTTTTATTGGATAAGATTGTAGTACATCAAAACGGTATCCTATGCAATAATTTACCTGGTAAGAGCTTACTCGGGTAAGAGTTGTCACCCTCACTTCTCGGGTAAGACTCTCCATCATAATCATCACTCTTACCAGGTAAGATTCTTGGCCCTTGCTATGTTAATCTGGTGAGGAAAATTGTCCGATAAACACTTATCGGGTAAGTATTTAGTAAATGACCTCTAACTTTCCCTTTTTAGCCATCTTAGAAACCTATTTCCTCAAATAGCCAAAGTTTACAAAAAAAAAAAAAAACAAGTTAAAAGGAGTTTAGGCAAAAAAAAAAAACTTTGTGCAGAAAAAGAATTTCTGTGTAACAGAAAATCTTTTTTTACACAGAAATTCTTTTTTCTGTGTAAAGTTTTTTTTTTGTTGTAAACTTTGGTTATTTCAGGAAATAGTTTTGTAAAATGACTAAAAAATGAAAATCATTTTATAAAAAATGGCGATTACATAAAATTCCTTTGAAAAAGGGTGGGATGGTCGGAAAAGGGTGGTTTTAGATTTTCGTTGTGTTCTCGAATTTAAGAAGAAAATAAATAAAAAGAGAACGAAGGAAAAAATTTCTTTCTTCTTGTGCTTTTGAAAAGGAAGGGAAGGAAACAAAAATAATTTTCATATTCTTGAATACGAGAGAAACTAAATGGAAGATGTCATCTATACTATATTATAAAATATTTGACAAAAATTCTTAAAAACCATTTTTTATGCATGAAGTATTATTTATTAATGCATATTACTTAAAATTTAATATTAAAAGTAAATTGTGTGTAAGTATAACTTATTAAAGCTCTATTTTTAAATTTGTATAACTAACTGTAGATAAACATAATCAAATATAGGATAAACATCTCATTTTAAATATAAAAGATCTAAAATATAATTAGGATAATCATTGAATTCTAACAAAATCATTATCTTTATAAAAATTATATTGTTAAGTCAAAAATAAATTACTTTGCTGTTAAACTGAAAATTGAAATTAAATTATAATAAAATTTAAGAGGAAACCTATCACTTATTTTTAATTAAATTACGTTCTTACCCCCTACAGTTTGTTGAAACTTTTCTATTATTGTCTCTGTAATTTTGAAATTATAATTTTCATCCTCATGGTTTACAATTCATTGATATTTTTGTTCTTATGAATTAAATTTTATTGTTGTTTTTATCCTTATAATTTATAATTTATTTTTATTTTAGTCCTCATACTTAAAAGTAGAAATTAGCCTTAATGATCAAATAACAATAATATACAAACCATACGAATAAAAACCGTAATGTCAAAACCGCAAGGACGAAATCTATATATTTCTTTTAACAAACCATAACAGAGTTAGGTTTACGGGACCATCGACCATCTTCATTCTTCAGAGCAAAGTGCATTACATGGGGACAATGTTTGTACTTCTTGAAATTCAAGGGTAACTTTTTGTGATTTGTTTGAAACAACAGGGACCAAAAGTGAATTTTTTACCTTTTTGTTTAAAACCGAAAATTGGTAATAACTAGCAAAATTGAATTCCTTTTCTTTTCGCCGTTCTTCAAAATTCTGAACCCAAATTCCAAATCGAAGGCCAAATTCCCTCGCAATCAACACAAGGAATCTCCTTCTCCGTCGCCGCTCTTTTCTCTGTAACCCTAATTTATGTTCTTTAAGTCACCAATCTTCACTTGTTATCTCGTCGCCGTTTGATTTCAGGTACGAACCCTACCAAGGACATTGTTGTATTCAGTTCCACCCTCAAAACCCTACTTCCAGCAACCCCCTCTTAGTAATCCCTAATCTTGTTCTCGATTTCATTGCAATTCTTTTATTTGGTTGTGTTAATTTCAAACAGTCACTATTGTTACACTTGTATCGCGAATAATATTTCGATGGATGATTCATCTGATTGTGGGAGGATACGGAATATATGCATTCTTGCTCATGTTGATCATGGCAAAACCACCCTTGCTGATCACCTGATTGCTTCGTGTGGAGGAGGGGTTCTCCATCCAAAACAAGCTGGTAGGCTTCGATTTATGGATTATTTAGACGAAGAACAAAGGAGGGCAATAACCATGAAGAGTTCTTCCATTGGTCTTCAATTTAAAGGTCATTCCATAAACCTTATTGATTCACCTGGCCATATGGACTTTTGTAGTGAGGTTTCAACTGCTTCTCGTTTGAGCGATGGAGGTTTGGTTTTGGTGGATGCTGTTGAGGGTGTTCATATTCAGACCCATGCTGTTTTACGTCAGGCGTGGATCGAAAAGCTTACACCTTGTTTGGTTTTGAATAAGATCGATAGGTTGATTTGTGAGCTTAAATTGAGTCCCATGGAGGCTTACAATCGTCTCCAGAGAATCGTTCATGAAGTTAATGGGATCGTTAGTACTTACAAATCTCAAAAGTATTTATCAGATGTCGACTCCATTCTTGCTGGACCTGCTGGTGAATCAAATGATGAAAACCAGGAGTTCATAGAGGATGATGAAGAAGTAACTTTCCAACCACAAAAGGGTAATGTTGTTTTTGTTTGTGCCTTAGATGGATGGGGATTTGGTATTTGTGAGTTTGCCGAGTTTTATGCTTCTAAACTAGGAGCTAGCTCTGCTAGTTTGCAGAAAGCTTTATGGGGTCCTCGATACTTTATTCCAAAGACGAAGATGATTGTGGGCAAGAAAGGACTGGCTGCCGGAAGCAAGGCTCGCCCTATGTTTGTTCAGTTTGTGCTCGAGCCATTATGGCAAGTCTACGAAGCAGCCTTGGAAACAAATGGGGATAAAGGGATACTTGAAAAGTTAATCAAATCATTCAATTTATCTGTTCCTAATCGTGAACTGCAAAACAAAGATCCAAAATCCGTTCTCCAATCTGTCATGAGCCGATGGCTTCCTTTATCAGATGCCATTTTATCTATGGTGGTTAAACATATACCAGACCCTATTTCTGCACAATCGTTCCGTGTGTCACGCTTGCTTCCAAAAAGAGAGATTTTAGATAGTGCCATCAGTAACTCTGATGTGATCGCTGAGGCTGAGCTCGTGAGGAAATCCGTTGAGGCTTGTGATTCACGAAGTGAATCACCATGTGTTGCTTTTGTATCCAAGATGTTTGCGGTTCCTATGAAGATGCTACCTCAAAGAGGCGTAAATGGGGATCTTCTGCACAATCAAACAGAAGAAGGCGGAAATGGAGATTCCGACGAGTGTTTTCTAGCATTTGCGAGGGTTTTTAGTGGTGTTCTTCATTCGGGCCAGAAGATCTTTGTGCTATCGGCATTGTATGATCCACTTAAAACGGGAGAATCGGTTCAGAAGCATATTCAAGAAGCTGAGTTGCATTCTTTGTATCTGATGATGGGCCAAGGCTTAAAACCAGTGGCTGCAGCCACGGCTGGAAATGTCGTCGCCATTAGAGGCCTCGGTCACCATATCTTGAAAAGCGCTACTCTATCTTCAACGAAGAACTGTTGGCCATTCTCCAGTATGACATTTCAGGTTTCACCAACTCTGAAAGTTGCTATTGAGCCATCCGATCCGGTCGACATGGCGGCACTTATGAAAGGGCTTCGGCTTTTAAACCGTGCAGACCCGTTTGTGGAGGTGAGTGTTTCCGCTAGAGGCGAGCATGTTCTTGCTGCTGCAGGTGAAGTTCATCTGGAAAGATGCATTAAAGATTTAAAAGAAAGGTTTGCAAAGGTGAACTTAGAAATTTCACCACCTCTTGTGTCTTTTAGAGAAACCATTGAAGGGGATTCATCAAATCCTTTTGATAAATTAAAATCTTTTATCGGGAGTTCTAACGTTATTGAAAGAACGACACCGAACGGAAGGTGTATGGTTCGTGTCTACATTTTGAAACTTCCTGATGCCCTTACGAAATTGCTAGACGAAAGTTCCGATCTGCTTGAGGATATCATCGCAGGTAAAGCAATTCAGCTTAAATCAAGCATCGGAGCTCAAGATGATGATCATCCAGTAGAAGCTCTTCGGAAACGCATCTGGGATGCCATAGAAAGTGAATTTTTAGATGGGAATGAGAAAGATAAAGATCGAGCCGAAAAGTATAAACTTTTATGGGAAAATCTTCTAAAACGGATCTGGGCTTTGGGGCCAAGACAAGTCGGTCCAAACATGCTCATTCTCCCGGAGCCGAGTACCACAATCATGGGTTCTTCCGTTCTCATACAGAGTTCTCCTTACGTATCTGAAAGACTGGGTTTCACAGAGGTTTCCATCAGTGACAGATTAGCAAGCGAGTCGTCAGAAATTCGATCACTGAACGAAGAAGCAGAGAGCCTCAGAAGCAGCGTATTATCTGGGTTCCAAGTTGCCACTGCGGCTGGTCCTTTGTGCGATGAACCCATGTGGGGTTTGGCGTTTGTGGTCGAGGCTGCCATTTTTCCATTTGTTAGTGAATCTGAAGCCATTCATCAACAAGCTCAATCCGAGCAATACGGGGTGTTTTCTGGACAGGTTATGACCGCGGTTAAAGAAGCCTGTAAAGCAGCTGTTCTTCAAAAGAACCCTCGGATCGTTGAAGGCATGTATTTTTGCGAGTTGAATACACCGACGGAATATTTAGGACCAATGTACGCTGTGCTGGCACGTAGACGAGCCCGGATCTTAAAGGAAGAAATGCAGGAAGGGTCCCCGTTGTTCACAGTGCACGCATACGTGCCGGTTGCCGAAAGCTTCGGATTTGCCGATGAGCTGAGAAGATGGACTTCTGGGGCTTCAAGTGCTCTGCTTGTTCTTAGTCACTGGGAAGCACTTCCTGAGGATCCGTTTTTCATACCGAAAACCGAAGAGGAGAAAGAAGAGTTTGGAGACGGTTCTAGCGTTCTACAAAACACTGCACGGAAACTAATCGATGGGGTTCGGCGGCGTAAGGGCCTCCCGGTCGAGGAAAAGGTCGTTCAGCACGCTACAAAACAGCGAACACTGGCTCGTAAGGTTTAGAAAATTTTGATTCAGTTTCTACATTTGCTAATGTATTGCATCCCAAAACATTATACACACTTTACTGTGCATCTCAATTCATCTTTTTGTTGGAGTCATCCATTTTAAAGTCTTAACGGAAACAACTGTCCAATCTTTTCGAGTGAGATATATGGAGTCGGTTTGGCTTGGTTTAACAACCATTTTATCTGTCTGTGTGAACTAATTTGTCTTTATAGCATTGAAAGTTTTTACTTGGAGTAGTTTTTTATAAATGGAAGTAGCGTATACTTAGAAAAAAAACCTTGGCTTTCTAAACAAGAACTCCTCTTAGAAGCTTATTTTCTATATCATTAAGCAACTACCGAACAATCATGTATAGCTGATCGAATAAGCTGTGAGTCTCCTTGACGCTAACAAAATATACACAATGAAATTGGGATTTATTCTCTAGCACATAATACACACATATACCAAACATACATACAACAATTGTAGTATCTTCTATTTATCTGCCATGGCTAAGAGATCTGGAGTGTTCAAGTTCATCAGATGGATCCCAATCTAAAGAAGACAGCCTTATCTTGGATAGCGTCACAAACACCTCCGCCACCGACGGGCGGTCGTTCAGATCAGCCGCCACACATTTGCTAGCAAGCTCTGCCGCGGAATAGGCCAACTCCACCGGATACTCACCCCTCAACTTACTGTCCATAAACTCCGTTAGCTTATCCCTCACGTGATCCCCTCCAACCACCTCTTTTATCATCTCCGACAGCTGCCCCTGCTGTGGTGCCGCCAAATCCGCTGCCGTATCATTATCCGTATCCTCCTTGTCACCAACAGCCTCTGGTGGTCGCGTGGCGGCTTCTTTTCCCGACAAGAGCTCGGAAATCAGAACACCCAAAGCAAACACATCCATTTTAGGGGTTATCAAGCCATTCTCGATGTATTCTGGCGGCATGTAACCAAATGTCCCAACAACGTGCCGTGTCAACTGAAGTTCTCCATCCAGGTCCTCGTCCACGGTCCTCGCAAGCCCGAAATTTGTGATCTTTGCTCTCATGTGACTGTCTATTAACACGTTGCTGCTCTTCAAGTTCTTGTGAATGTACGGTGGAGTCACAAAATTGTGAAGGTAATTCAATGCGTCGGCTATGTCGTGCGCGATTTGAACTCGTTCTTTCCATCCCAAAACAGATTCGTATTTGGTGTTCTTCGTGGCCGAGTGCATCCAGTCGCTAAGCGAACCATTATTGGCAAACTCGTAAACGAGATAAGTGTTGCCTTGATGCAAACAGAATCCAGAGAGTCTGATTATGTTCAAGTGATTGATATGTTGAAGGATGTTGATCTCGCTGGAGACATCCCCTTTCATCATCTTCACCGCCGCAGAATCGCCATTGAAGATCCCCCTGTAAACCGATCCTTTTATTCTATTTTCTTCAGAGAAATCTCCGGTGGCCTTCTGCAGTTCGTGGTATTTGTAAACCGTTAACGATTCAATCGCAAATCGGATCCCTTGTGATGACATGGACCACGACTTGCTCTCCGGCGGGATGGTTAGCGACGTCTGATGGGTGTTCGGAGAGTGTTTAGGCGGAAGAAGATTGTTCTTGTGTTGGATCTTCTTCTTCCTAAAGAACCAAACCAGAAACCCAGAAAGGGAAACAAGTAGAAGCAATCCGACGCCGATTCCAACGCCGACGAAAACCCACTTGCTGGAAGAGCTGCCGCCGGTGCCTGGTGTTACTGGAATCACCGGTGAAGTAGGCGGCGTCGCCGGAGTTGCAGGGGTGATGATTGTGGTGGTGGGTTCGGTCGTAAGAGGAATCAAGATCGGCGTAAATGGGAAGATAATATCGCTGACGTTAAGCTCATTGGCGTCTAAGATGCTCTGAACTGAAACATTGTCGAAAATTTTCGACATAGATTCATAAGAATCGCCCCATGTGACCAAGTAAGTGAGCAAAAACCTAATTCCGGCCGCCCTCTGGTTAGCGGTGGGACAGGCGCATCTGAGGGGAACAGTGATATTATTTCCGACAACTAAGTCCCGATAATTGTACGGATTCTGGGCAATCATCGCTTGGCAAGTAGTGAGACCTTCATAGGTGTTATTAGCGATGGTGAAGTAAGTCTCGTCGGTGCTGCTAAGTTGGTAACTGGCGTTGTGCTGGTAGAATTGGCCGCCGGAGCAAGAACAGTTACGGATAGGGACGACGACGACGGTATTGGCGGTGATGGTGGCGGCGTTGGAAGAGGCGTTGATGTCATCGGGGTTGGAGTTGAGGAGGGAGGCGATGTTGGCAGGGGTGTTGTATAACGGTGGTTGTGGCCGGAAAGTGAGGTAGGAACGGCAGGTGGAATCGGTGGCGAGGGAGTTGCAGGTGAAGCCAAGGGCTGTGGTGTGGTTGTTGTCGCAGTCGAGTTGTTTGTTGTTAACGTAGGACTGTTGAGCTCGGTATCCATGGATGCAAATCAAGAAGACCATCGGCCACCACCATGAGAACATGATGATGGATTGAGAATAAAATTTAGTTTATGAAATTGGGGAAAACGATTGGAGTGATTTTGAATATATGATTTTAAGAAATGGGAAGACTTGAAAATTCCACGCGTTTTGAATATTTGACTGGTGCAAAGTGGAAACATAAGTAAGACCATTTCCGTTTAGCTACCAAAAGTCAACACATCGTTTAGTAGTAAATGTTGCTGATATTTATCGGTTGATTTTAGATAATTGGATTATACGAGGTTGTTAGTTAAACCACATAATGGGTTAGGAAATAGGAAATGTATGAGCGTATTATGAGCTAATTAGAATCGGTGATCGAAGTGCGGACAAGGTCGAAGGAGGTTGCCGTTGCAGGGTTCGAGACAACATCCCGGGACAACAATGGATTTTACGAGTACTTAGAAAAAATGAGCTTCTGAGTGCTCTACCAAGTGAAGTTCAAAAGTTTGTGAATCCTCTTCAAGTTCTTTTGTGAAGTCTCTGAATCTTGTTCAGAAGTTTCTTATTTTGAAGTGGTTTTGATTCGGAGGAGTGAGAGCTTATGTGACTTTTCTAAGTTGGCTTATGACATGTCTAAGCAATTTGTAACTGTTATGCAGTTAATCCGGACAGACACTAATTACTCTAATAACATTTCCATTTAATGGGGAGCTATTCTCAATGCGTTAGCATCTACAGGGATTATCGCAGTGTTTTGTTTTCATTAAACAGTCGAATTCCCATTGTCCGTACCAGTTCTGAGTTGACTGTTCGACGTACGGGGAAGGCCCTCGAAGAGGGCGTTCCTAGTCCATCCCCTAGCCGGCACACGGCGACCCGCTTTCGCCACGAAAGCAGCTCGAACAGTCCACCGGGTTCAGGACTGGGACCCCCGGTTGCATTCTCTAAGTTTAAAAGCAAACGATTTCTGGAATAATCATCATTCAAAATATAAGATTACTTTCGAATTAATTTCGTGATTACAGACAAATTGGGTCAAAATATAACTTGAAAAAAGTGAGCCGTCACCTGATCTATGATTTTATCCGAACTCTGTTTCTTACCATTACGGAGATCCTCCAACGACAAAAAGTTAAAAATAATGGGATTGTGTAATATCCATTCAATTATAAATTCTAGAGGAAATTATGGATATGGTCCTTGGTGTTTTTTGTTTTTTTTTTATTTTGATCTTTACAATTTATTTATTCAAAAAAAAGACCCTTGTATATATTTTATTTTGTTTTGATCCTACTAACGGTTGTTAACTTTTAATCATTAAATCCCGTTATATAAGACAATAAATTGTTCATCTAAATACTTAAAAATATTTATTACTTATATTACAAAGTTGTTTTTATAAACAAACCCAAAAATCACCGAGTATTTTACAATAAACTACTTTCAAGTTCAATTTTAGAGTTTTATAAACAATCTTCCTCCCCTCCCACTCAAATGAGTTATAAACAAAAATAAAATCCAATAAAGAAAAAAGAAAATAATAATTGAAAATGGAAATGGAAATGGAGTTAGCTCATCATGGTCCTGAACTCCTCGAAATCCAGCACTCCATCTCCATTGACGTCGAATCTTCCGATCATCGTCTTGCAGTCGTTCACGGTGGTCGACTGCCCCAACCGCTTCATCATCCTCTTCAAGCTCTTCGCTGTGATTACACCTCCTTCCCTATCCCTATACGTTGATTTCCTACAATACATCACGAACGCCTCTCTCAGCTCCTCCTCTTCTCCTTCCTTCATCATTTTCTTGAAATCGTCCAATCCCAACATCCCGTCTCCGTCTGCATCAGACGACCTCACCGCTATCTCCGCCTCCTCATCCGATAACCGATGTTCCTCCCCTCCTACCTCCCTCAGCTTGTTCTTCAGTTCCTCAGCTGATATCTTCCCATCTCCGTTCTCGTCAAAGTAATTGAACACCTGCTCATGGATATTATCATCCCAAGTACCACAAGCAAGCGGAGCCGAGAAAGACGTCGGAGATTTCCTGGCGGGGGATACCACTTGCCGGAAGAATCTAGAGAAGGAGGTAACCGGAGAAGTTGTAGCTGACGACGAAGATTCACCTGAATTCATGATTGTCGACAAGGTGTTTGTAGAAATGCCAGTTTCCATATACTAATCATACATACGGTTTGGATTGTATTGAGAAGGTATTTATAGTATAGGGATCAAGAATAGAAAGATGGGGGCATCCAAGAATCTTGTGGATGGATAAATATAGAAAGTAGAAAGAGGGTGCGGCGGTGGCAGATGGAAGCTGTGGGCGACGGTTCCCGTGTCGGTAGTGGTGTGCCGCCCAAAACCACTGCCGCGTTTGTTTCAATGCATATCCTTTTCTTCATTTTACTATTTTATTATTTTTATTTTATTATTTATTATTTATTATTTATTGGACACACCATCTATGACATAATATACATCATATTATTTTTTTATTCTAAATAATTAATGATGGTTACAGGATCAGTATCTTTCTTTTCTTGACAAGATTCATAATAAAATAGGATTTTTTTTAAACTGTGGGTGTTCCCGTCAACTTAAGGTATTTTGATTAATTTAAAGTATTCTAGAGAATAGTCAGAAAAATCCTTAGTATCTTTATAAGATTCAGAAATCGGTGAATGTTGGAGAGATTCCAAATGCCTTAAACGTTATTGTCAGTTGAGGCGATCCTGCAAGGTCAGGTAAATAGATTTTATTTTAGGTTTTGGATGTTTGAAACTTTCGTAATCAATATGAGGTCCAGTGAGTTTCATCTGATTTCAGGTCATGTTAATAACTAAGCTTATTATGAAAGTTTTCTTTAGATAACCATGATGTCACGCCCCATTAAGGGGTTCTTAAGAAATCCGGAATATTCTAGATTAATCAAGAAGCTCGAAAGATCAAGATGAGCTAATATGTTGACCATCAATATGAGGTCCAGTGAGTTTCATCTGTTTTTAGGTCATGTTAATAACTAAGCTTATTATGGAAGTTTTGTTTGGATAACCATAATGTCACGACCCATTAAGGGGTTCTTAAGAAATCCGGAACATTCTAGATTAATCAAGAAGCTCGAAAGATCAAGATGAGCTAATTAGTTGAATAAGGATTAAGGGGGTCGGCATAATCTAGAAGAATCTATATCTTTTAAGAGCCTATGTAACTAGAACATTCCTTTTAAATATCTAGTAGGATAGTCTAGATAGAGAAGTATAAACAGAGGGAATCTTTCATTTGTATAGCATACTACACTTTCTACGATTTAAGTAATAGAAGCAGGGTTCTCCCAATTTTCTTAGCATTCTTGTTTCCTCATCTTGTTCGGTATTTTTGTAGTTTGGTTGACTTAGGGGCCGTTTACCAAACATTTATCCGGCAAACGTTTACCGATAAAATTTAACACTACCACTAACTTACCGGGTAAGACTTTAGTCCACTAAAACAATTTATCCAGTAAGCGCTTACCATGGTAAGAGTCGTCGCCCTCACTTACCGGGTAAAACTCTCGGTCCTTATCTCCCTCTTACCGGGTAAGATTTTTGGTCCTTACCATATTCATCCGGTAAGGTAATGTAACTTAGTAAGTCTTACCCGGGTGAACGTTTGGTAAACGGCCCCTTAGTCTACAAAAACTGCATGCGAGCTTGTGAGGATAACTTCGTAATAATAAGCTAACTTATTGAAACTTTTTTGAAATTTTCTTCATGTTTTAACCTTGATTAATGTTAATTGTTATTAATTACAATTAATTGCTAATTGTAAATGATTAATTATTTTAGAATTACTATTATTTATATAATTTATCAGTATTATTCTTTAATATAATTAATCATCAAAAAATAAATTCAATAATTTTTGAAATTTCTTTAACATAAAGTTATATTATTGTAACTTTTTCATAAATAATTTCAATTAAATATTTAATTTAATTTAAAAAGTCATTTCTACTCATAAATAAGTAACAGTTGCTATTTTTTTTCTTTCTAAAATTCATATTTAGTTATACAAATCCAAATCTATAATATATATATATATATATATATAATCAATAAATAAAATTGAAATTATATTATTAATATATTATAATATTAGTGATTTATTTTAATTGAATGAGAAACGTCATTGTTGAGGGCCTAGAGAAAGACAAATAAGAGACTGGTTTACCTCTTACCAGAAAGAGGACAATAAGACATAAGTGCCTCTAAAATTTTGAGAAAACCGAACAGTTTAAATAGCCCTACCTCTTAAAAAAATCAGACATAAGAAACTGATAAGAAATAATTTTTAAAAACAAACAAAACCTTAACTTATCAAATATATTGCCAAAACATAGCCTTAGAAAACTAGAATATGTGTGTTGGTATTTGTTTTGAAATGTGTTGTGAATATTTACAGGTTCAGTTAGGGCTGTAAACGAACCGAACGAATGCTTGTTCATGTTCGTTCGTTTAACTTAACCGAACAAACAAACGAACACGAACGGAAATCTTTGTGTCCGTGTTCGTTCGTTTAGAAATCAGGTGTGTTCGTCTTCGTTTATGTTCGTTCGTTAACAAGCTAAACAAACGAACATAAACGAACGGGCTAAACGAACATAAATATATATTATTTGAATTCAAATTAAATAAATAAAAGATTATATTTGAATTCAAAGTAAATAAATAAAAGATAATATATTAAATTTGATATATAAACGAACGGTAAATGAACGAACGTTCACGAACGGTAAATGAACAAATGAGACTCTTGTTCATGTTCGTTCGTTTAACTAAACGAACAAAAAAAATTGTTCACGTTTGTTCATTTATTAAATAATCGAACTTCCCACCAAACAATTCGCTGAACATTTAGTTCATTTACAGCCATAGGTTTAGTATACATGTTACTATATTATGTCATGAGAAAGATGTGTTAAATGTTGAGAATTTGTTTAGAATGGAAAAAAACACCTTTTTGAAAAGATGAAGGGTCAAGACTAATGTTTGAATACGGCATTCATCGGCTAGATGTTTATCAACAAAAGTCATCACCCTTACTTACCTTATGGGGTACGTTCTCAGCCATCAAAATGGATCAGTAGTAAAGCTTTCATAATACAGTAAACGCTTACGGAATTCAAGATCAAGATAATACAAAAAACATTAAACCGTCTTCTAAAAAGGGTGCGACTGAATACGGCTAAGTTGGATTTGCAGCGACTTAAAAGGTGTACATCAAGTACGTGCAGCTTTAGCCCAACAGATAAGGAGACAGACATTCTTATAGAATACTGTACATTAAAAGCACCTTGTGTATGAACAAAGAAGACCAAATGCACATTCTTCACCAGATACATAATATAATAGTTACACCACAAAAACAACAACATTCATTCTTAATAGACAACACAACCAACCATCCATCACTTCACTCTGCCTGCCTTTCAACAACAAGAAGATGATACCAACCACATTACATTACATTACATTACATTTTAATACATACAGGATGCAATTCAATTCAATTGAATTCTCCGCTCTCTACTCATGGCCATTTCGAGCCTCTGCTTTCTCTCAAGCTTCTCCCTCTTCTATACTCGACTTCTGCATCAGAGTTTGATTGCCCGTACATTCTCGAACCCCCCATCTTCGAGAATATCTCTTCATCATCCGTCAAGCAATGCTCAACACCTGAACAGGATCACAGTTCACAAAAACAAAACATAACCAACAGTGCATGATAAAGATTCTAATGCTCTTTGATACTCACATGGGCATATACTGTTAAGATATACTATTCACATGTGCATATACAGTAAGATATGGTATTCACCTATTATATCATTGCATGAACTCAGCAGTCCTTTGTGCTCCCCCTTGCTAGAATGAGTTGCTTCCACTCTACAATTTTTCGGGTTTGTTTCCTTCTTTTGTGTTTTGCCTATGTTTGCTTCATTTTGAGTCTTACTGGACCCAGAAGGCATCATAGAAAATGAGTCATCCATAACATCAGAGATCTCTACATAATGAGCTGTGGACACAATTTCATCAGCACTGAACCCAAATGATGCTCTATAAGCTTCTAATTCCTCAATATCTTGCTTGCATGCTTTACTCTGCCTGCTCTGAACCCCATTCCCAGCATTAGAGTATACATCTGATTCCTTAGAAACACTCAACCTCCCACCAGAATGAGGAAATGAAGACTGATCCAGATAGAATTGTGCAAATGTTTCAGGGCAGAAGAAATTGGCATCTTGTGGCTTCGACCCACCATCCGTATCAATCCCCAAAAGCCTGCCTGAATCCGACCCTTTCTCCTTAGGTGTTGAAGGATTCCATTGCGGGCTGAAATCTCTTTCAGGGAAAGACGATGATAGCCCTTCTCCTGATGCTCTAGAAATTGGTGATCTAAGAGTACTGGCTGGACTTCCAGGGTACAGGGAATACGTTGCTTGAAGATCATTTGCAGCCATGTAATTCGTCTTAACTCCGCCTTTAAGATTCAAAGTAGACGAAAGGAACTGTGCATAAGGCACATCAGGGGAAGAGGGGGTGGTGAGATGAGCCAGCTCCGGTGGCGGTGTAAGAGGAGCTGTGGATGGCTCGGTGGTGAAAGTTGAGAAAACGGGGGGAGATACAAGTTGGGTTTCATGGGCATATGGGCCTGTGGCAAACATGGTGGAAGAAGGACCTCCGGGTGAGTTTGCAGACAGGAAACAGTTTGGTGACTGGACTGTAGATTGAAGTGCAGAATTAGAGAAGGATGCAGGTGAAGATGGTGGAGCTAAAAGCGACGGGTGTACTGCATTATTCTGATTGGTTAACCCGACGGCTTGAGGTCCATTTTGTTGGTTTGCAGTTGCATGGGTTTCTGGCATACGAGATGCAGGTACAACACGCTTTCCACCTTTTTGCAAACCAAAACAAGATAAACCGCTTAAGCATCCTCTCCATCTCTTCCTCTGAAGCACAATCAAACAATGTGTTATTCTTTCACAATCAAACAGAAATGGAAAGCAATGCTACAACAATCATGAACCAAAAAGAAAGTCTAAACACACTGGAAAAACAAGAGTTTACGAAGCTATAAAGTAGAACAGTTCATCAGCTTGAACTTGTTTGCAAGAATGTCACCCTCCAACAATGCAGAAACTGTTTATTGCTAGTCATTGCTATCCTAATACAGTTGCTAGGTAGGAGTAGAAACTGAATGACTGTGTATGTATGTAAATATGTATGTGTGTGTGTATGTATATATGTATGTATGTATGTATGTTAGGATATATCTGCCACACCAGCACGAAAGAATCAATTCTCAACAATTTATCGGTTTATACTTGAGAAGACAACTATGGCTTTCGGATGTTAAGCCGTCGCTAAGGAGCAGTTGCACATTCTTTCTTTAACTCTCATCTCTTACAACCTCTGATATATCGAATCAGCTCTTTTCACCTTGGGGAGATTCCTTTCTTAGGGATTCCCCATGATGCTTGGACCACTTAACATATATCTTTTTATTGGTACTCATAGTGCCTTTATCCTCTTCAGAAAATCTCATCCCATCTTTTGAAACTTATAATATGTTGGAACTATCAAATAACCACTTGTCCACTTGGTCCAGTATCAACCCTCTTTGGGGCCTCAAAACTACTCAAACTATATCTGTAAGGGAGCATAAGGAAAGATAACCTTGGTTTTCAAAGTACCAATTACCAAAATCGTTTGGATTCATGCAGTACGAAATCAGTTTATCACTTTGGCTTAAAGGTCCAGATTAGATAAAACCATAGCTTTTCTTTTAATTTCTTGGCCAACTCAAACCGGGATTCAATGATACACGCCTTTAACTTTTTGTGTTCGGGTATGAGTATATGTCTGAAGAAAAGGTATGTAATATGAGATCTTTGTTGCATGGTGGGTTAACCCCTGGCTTGGTGGAGTGTTTAAAATAGCATATACCAAGCTCCATAAACAATGGGATGGATCACCTCGTCAAGTCATGCAGTGGTCGTTGGATTGAAGATCTGCCCATATTCATTTGTCTTCACGTGTCAAATTGGGGGACATGAAAGAGAAATTCAGGAAATCGTACATTGACCAGCTTTGACAGAAAGTTTTAGGATATCGAAATGATCTTGGCAAGTATACAAAGAACTTTGCTTTCACTCAACGTCTATATCACAAATTAAGCCACAAATCTTCAATTCACATATGTTTAAGCACTAATCATCACCATTCTTAAAGACCAGTGATGATATATAGTATACCAACTTATAAGAGTTGCTCTACCAAATTAGAGTGGGTCCCTCATCCATGAAAAACTCACCTAGCTTCTAGCACTGGCACAAATTTGAAAAAAAAAACTCTTTTCTGCGGGTAATCCTGAATTTATTTGGGCATCAGACATTATGTGGAAAAAACCTAACTCAGTTGATCCCTCAGTCTCAAATACCCTTCCTTCATCTGAGAGAGGGATTGCTCGGCTACTGGAATAGTGTCATAAAAAACCTTATTACATAAAGAATTCAGATTTAACACTAAAATCATTTATTCGTTGAATCTATTCTAAGATTCCCAAAACCAGCATGGATTTGAAACAAAGAGCATGCTGCAATTTGGAATGTGGTTTTGAAGCAAAATCTTTTATTCATGGATTCTACAGTAATTTTGAACTCTTTTTCTTTTCTTTTACTGGATTGTTGCAGAGAGTAACACACATCTAAGTCCAAATATACAAGTTCCAATTGCACTCACGAGATGCAAATGTCAGATAATAGCTTCTGTGGTGATAAAGTTCCAAGTCAAATAACATGTATACCAATGTTATCCTAGAATTGATAAACATATGACAAACTACTAGATACATAGAGGGACGCAAATCTACATGGTCCGAATATTCATACATGAATATCAAACACAAAAAGGCATAAAAATGCATGGAAGTAATTAACAGGCATAAAAAGTACAGGTAATGTTTGCAGATCCTGAACCCACTTCCACTGGCCCTCCCCTCATCTTACACACACAAGAATTGCTCTCCATTGTTACCGTTTTGCCGGTTGGAAGATCCAACCGGCTGGCAAAAAGAACTACAAAATGCCGGAGATGGGAGAGAAACGCCATATATGACGTGTTCCTGTTCAAACAGCATATATGGTGTGTGGTTGGAGTTTAGTTTTATTTTGGTGTTAATGGACCCACCAATCATGAAAAAAAGAAATTGTTGTGGTTGGAGATGGTCTAAATGCTGAAGCAGAAGACACCAACTCAAAGGGTAAAGCAAGAAACATCAGGGAAGGATAAACAATCACATACCATCAATTATACCCAAGAAGCAATCACACAAGTACTTTGACAAAATACATAACTTGTAACCATTCATGATCTCCAATCATAAATGTATAGTATATAGAGTTTGATTGCCATTTTTGATTTCCTGAGCTACAACTGATGGCTAGCCAGAAATTAAGTAGGTTTAAGAGAAAACAAAGATACCCATAAGAACAGATCTACTTTAAACTGAATATCCAATTTCTTTAACATGTTAAAAGATTCAAAGGAAACCCAACAAACACAATGTAGATCTGAAAAGGATCATCAAATGTATAGTTTATGGCACCCTCGAATCAACAGACAACTAGAGTTTGGAGTAAAGCGTACATTATGAGCAGTTGCTAAGAAGAAGATAACAGATCTGAAGAAGTACATCATGTGTCCTTCCCAAAAAAAAAAAAAAAACTAAATAATCAAGAAAACTAAGATAATATCAACATGGGATAAGATCTAGGGTTTAGAAAATTTACCCGGGAAGACGCAGGTTGTTGTTGCTGCAGAAATCTGTTCTGCTCCGACGCCATTTTCACCCAATCAATCAAGAAATCCCTTTCTCCTACTCCTCAATCGTAATCTCAATTCTTAAAAGCTCTGATTACATCCACCTGATTATGACTAATACCTTAAGTTCTTCACAACCCCTTTTCCCCTAATTAACATTCGATCTGTATAAGTACGTGTGCCTGTGTCTGGTTACGACATATTTACATATAGTAATGAGTTCTGGAGCAGAAGCTGACAGGTTACAGATTTGGTAAAGACACACACACAACCACAGAGAGAGAGAGAGAGAGAGAGAGAAAGAGATGAAAGATTTACAGCAGCAGTTCTTTTGCTGAAACGAAAATAATATAAAAAGTTACCAAGAAAAAGAATTGGGAAATGGGAATCAAAGAAGGGTTTGAGGATGCTTTATCTTTATCTGGGACCCAATCCGCCAAATGACCTAGGGTTTTGAGCAAAAGGGGTGGATGGATGATGAAGTAGTGAAATGGGAATTGTATCAAAGAATGGATACGATTGCCATTGTTATGATCTGTTGATGCTTTTATGATTTGTGGGTGCTACAACTACAAACTACATACAAACTGTGAGACAGAAAGAGAAAGATGATAACAGGCTTTGGTTTTATTTGGCCTCAAAAGGAGATCAGAACCACAGTCCATACGCGTGCCAAATTATTGTCTCTCTTCCATTTTTATTTTTATTTTTATTTTTAATTAATTACGTATTTTAATAAATTCAATATAATACCATTTTTATTTTATTTTATTCATTTTCATTTTCATTTTTCACGTCGGGTTTTGGTTATCGGAGATATCCCGAGTTGGGAAATCGGTGACGGGTGATTACGTTTGGTTCATTCAATTAAATGTGTAACTGGTATTGTTTGTATAACGACTGTTGCTATTACATTCTGTTAAAATTATTTTATTTTTTTTATAGTATAGAATCCATGTCATTATCGTGTGGACGATGACATGACAGAAAAATTGAATGAAGAGATGCTACGTCATTGATAACGAGATTTCAAGTAAAGGTTTGTCATAAATATAAAAGAGAACGAATTGAACGTAAAAATGTATTTTGTTTCGAATCTTGTTTTAATATATGTTTTCAAAAGCTTTATTTCGAGAACTATATCGGCTTTGATGTGATTAAGGAAACATGTTGTAACCTTAAAAACAAAAAACAGAACGCGAATAATGTTAAACTTTTCTGTTTAATATGTCTTGTTGTAAACAGTAAAATAAAAATTTCCCAGATAAAAACCAAAATAATGTACTTTTTTTCAATAATAAAGGGTAAATTGCATAAAAAGAAACGTACTTTAACTTGATTTCTATTTTGGGTAACGTACTTTCAAAACTTACATTTTGGTGCCTAGGATGTAAAGTTTTAAACATTTAAGTACCCAGACAACCGGTTGAAATATTAACTGGTTACCATGTTGATTTGGCGAGTGATTTGACTTACATTTTGAATTTAAAATTCAATATAATTGTATAATGAGTTGGGTATTATATCACTCGTCACATAAGTATAGTAATCGGTTAATGTTTTAACCGGTTACCTAGGTACTTAAATGTTTAAAACTTTAGATCATAGATATCAAAATGAAAGTTTTAAAAATATATTACTTAAAATAAGAATCAAATTAAAAATGAAAAATTAATGGTATTTTATGTATAAAAAAGGTAAGTTGCCTCAAATGATAATTAAAGAAAAGCAAGTTATTATTTTATACAATTTGCCAAATTATGCATTCAAACAAGATCAACATTAGATTCTCTAACTCCTCTTTTTGTTGATCTTTCTAATAATAAATAATAACACATTATAAAATTTATTAAAAAAACAGAAATTATGAAAACATGTTTATAGATAAGGTAAAGTTTAAAAAAAAAACTTAATGTTTTTGAACTAAAGAAGTAATTTGGATAATTTTTTGGAACAAATAAGTCATTGGACATTCCAAAACCTGTTAAATAACTTATTGAACTTTTTAAAACATGTTAGATACATCCTTATGACTTATAAAACTTGTTAATATAGTAAAATAATGAAAAAAATCTGGAAAAAAACCCCAATGAACTTTCATATTTTGAACAATTAAGTTTAAACATTTTTTGAAGCAAAAAAATACTTATATCTATAAAATTAAACAAATATACCAAAAATACTTATATTTACAAAAAATTACTTATATTTAAAAAAGATTATTGATGAAATCTACATTAATAAAAAAATATTTTATCAGTGATTTTCTAAATAAAAAAGGATTTAAAAAAATTATTGATTAATTTATTTTAATTAAAAATAAAATATATTTCATATATGATTTTTTAAATTAAAAAAATTTTAAAAAAAATTAAAAAGAATTGATGATAAAAAATTTTAATTAAAAATAAATATATATTTTGTTCGTGATTTTTCAAATTAAAAGAATAGAAAATAATTTAATTAAATTATTGACGGATTAACGATAAAATTTAAATAAGTACATAATTAATTAAAATTCATCGTTAGTGTTCATTGGTATACATGCATGAATTACTTATATCTAATTGATGGCTAACTTGACCACCGTCAGACGCTCTAACACAGTAACATGTTAATAAGTGTGAAAGATCATGCTTGAATCTTGTCGGTGATATAATTTCACCGACGAATTTTAATTAATGATGTATTTAGTTAAATTTTATCGTTAACTCGTCAGTAATTTAATTATTTTCTATTCTTTTAATTTGAAAAATCACCAACGGAGTATATTTTATTTTTAATTAAAATAAGTTTCATCAGTAATCCTTTTTACAATTTTTTTAATTTGAAAAATCACTGACATAAAATATTGTATTTTTACTTAAAATATATTTCATCAATAATCTTTTTTAAATGTAAGTACTTTTTTGTAAAATATAAATATTTTCTTGGTATATTTATTTCATTTTATAGATGTAAATACTTTTTTTGTTTAAAAATATTTAAGGACTTAATCGTTCAAAATATGAAAGTGTATTGGCTTTTTTCCATTATTTTACCACATTAACTAGTTGTATAAGTCATAAAGATGTATCTAACAGGTTTTGGAATGTCCAATGAGTTATTTAATAAGTTTTGGAATGTCAAAGACTTGTTTGTTCCAAAAAATTGTCCAAATACTTAATCATTTCAAACACTAAAGTTCATTGAATTTTTTTTAGACTTTTCCCTTATATATATATATATATATATTATCAAACGTCATCAATTTAATAAATGTTTTTTTTTCTATTTGACGTTTTCGACCAACTTCATTTCAATTAACGGTCTCCATCCATGGTCACTTTCAACTTTGGATATCCTTTCTGATAGTTGCTCTCAATTTAAAGCCCTAAACGGATTCATATTTTAAGTTTCCGTTAACTCTTATTTTCAAAGTAGCGTTTATGAAGCGTATTTTCACTCTTATTCAAATAATATGAAATACGTTAAATTCGTTGAGACATTTTTAGTTTTAAATATTTGAACGAAATCATCGATCCCAAAAACCATTGAAGCAACAAACGATGAAGTTGGGGATCGTATGATTTGCTAAACTACTACCAAAAAAACTGGGGTTAAAATCGAGTAAAAAAACATATTTAAAACATGCTTAATAATTATACTATAATTTTTTTAAATAAAATATAAAAAATAAATGCTACTGTGTTTTAAAAATTAAAATATTTAAAATATATATATATATATATATATATATATA